TTTTTTGCATTGGTAGTATTTTTTTTTTTGTAGTACAATTGGTAGTGACATATTTATTTATTTCATTTCGCTTGAATGAAGCTTTTTCATGCACCAATATGCACATTCAATTGCATTAAAACACAATTTGGCCTTCTTTATGAGATAAATACTGTTGAAATGTTTCTTTCCAATTATTGCTGTTCCAGACTTCTTATTTTTTCTCATGGGGCTCTGATTTGTCACATGAAATTAGTGAACAGTAAATGTCTGTTTGGTCTGAGGTCATTATTTGCAGTCTTCATCAGATAAAACAGCCTCCATTAATATATCCAAACTGTTTCATCACAACAAGTATGATTTTCCTAAAATTACCGTTATGTGAACCCTGTTTTAAACATGGAAGGATGCCTTTCCACATCTCATCTTGTTTATGATCCAAGGCTACGTTCACACTGCAGGCAAATGTGGCCCAAATCCGACGTGACCCAGATCTGTTTTTCTCATGACAATGTGAACAGCACAAACCACATGGAATCTGATCTTTTCAATTCCGATTTGTGCCACTTCCATATGTGGTACTAAATCTGATACAGGTCAGATGTTTTAGAATGCGACCGCAGTGTGAACAGTCATGTCGGAATTCATGCGACTTTTACGTCACTCTAGTCTAGATAAACAGTTGTCACGATTCTGCGCTCATGGGAGTCACTTCAAAGATTTTACATACCCAAAGCTATCAAGACAGTTGCGGAAGGTAGTCAGTGGAAGTACAGTGATGTGTCAGAACTCATAAGTATTGCAGTGACAACTCTATATACAAGCAAAACATAAGGGCTCGTATCATAAAAGTTTCAAACTCTGCTCTCTCTCTCTGCGTGTTTACGTCCATATGACAGCGCGCTGCGTAAGTGTTGCCAAGTCCACAGTTTTCCCGCAGAATTAGGCAACTTTTTCATCGTTTCCGTGGGTTGAAGCGACCCCACTAACACGATATATAACCCCCAGAACGCGATTGGGATAGTTTTGGACTTTGTTTTGGACTTTGGATAGTTTTGGACTTTGGAAGAGTTCGTACTGTTCTTTTGCACATGCGGGTCAGTTCAGAACCATGATCTGTTCACACTGGAAATCTGATATAGGCCACATTTAAAACAACAATGTGAACAGCTATACAAAAAAATCGGATCTGAGCAAAAAACGGAATTGAGCACTAAGGCTCGAGAACAGCATTTGTGGATGTTGCAGGTTGGGATGTACCAAATCAAATAGTGAGTTTAATAGTAAGCTACAGGCTGGTATTGACTAAGTGTCACTTTGCTTTCAGACCAGTTTTGTGTCTATTTCAGGTGTATAAAAGCTTTTTCAAAACTACTAATTCAGATGTCTAAAATAACTATTTTATTTCATTTTTTAAATTTTACCAGGCAATTCCCAAAAAGTACTAGCATTTGGCGGGTGTTATTTCCTCACCCTGGTTGGATGTAATGAACAGGCCTATATTACAATTAAATAGCTATTAAAAAACATTGTAGCTTACAAATAGCTTAAAACCATGTCTTATCTTATTTACAAATCCATCAGTATCTGCCTGTTTTTTGCTTTTGGCCTGTAAGATGCCAAGTTTTCATTTGGTCAGTAATCTGTCAATAAATATAGGTTGCTGGTCTGCATTTATAATTGATGGATAGCTCACCTATTTTTTTGTTGTTGTTTTTTTTTCATACGTAGGGTATCACAGCAGGTTGTCTAGTCGTATGTTTGACCCACTGAAATGGAGATATCTTACTGTTGTCTCTGAAACCAGCCAGATCAGTCCAGATCTCAGCACATTATTTAATCTTGCTCATAGAGGCTGAAAGCTTTATCACAGGGCAAGAGCCGGCCGTGTCAACAGATTATGAATCGAAACGTGTGGGCTGGTTTGAAGAAAGCTCTTATCTTTTGCTCCTGTGTATCTGACGGTCCAGATCTGTGGACAGGTGAAATAGGTGCTGATCTCAAGAGCAAAGCATGAGCCGAACAGATGAAAGGGGTTTTGGGATGGGGTGGAGGGGAGCGCGGGAGATCAAATACGATCCTTTTCTTCCTAATTGAGATTGGAAATTACATCATTGATAAGGAGTGGAAACAGAAAGGGCATATTTTAAGAGCATGTCAGATTTATAAAAGCAAAGAAACTGTGATAGTTTATCAGACGTGGCTCGGGGCAGGATATGCAATTTTAATGGCTCTCACTCAGAGTGAATGCTAATGAGATTGCAAAGTTTTTATTTTAATTTTTTTACTTTCTCTCATCCTGAATCCACAGCTGAATTTCCAGCAGCAATTGTGCAGTGCTGAGCTGTATTTTATAAAACAAATTAAGAAATTAAAAAATCTCAAAGGGCAGTTGCTGCTGGTGCTTGAAACCTGGGATGTGCCTGATATGAAATCTTATTTGAAATTTTTAGCCAGTCGCCGATTTTATTTGGTCTATAATAATAATAAAACAAAAATAATAAATAAGAAAAATAATAAAATAAAATAATAATAAAAAATAAAACACTAAAAACCAAAAACTTTAATTAATCATTTTAACTGCATTTAACATGATTGATTTTAGTTTTTATTGTTTTATTGTTTATGTATTTTGGACAAAATAAAATTAATTGCATAATAATTTGTATAGTGCATTTTAAATAATGGTTATTTATTGTTTTTTCAGTATTAAAAATACATATAAAACTTTTTGAAATTTAAATTAAGATATTTATTTTTTTATCAGTTTTGGGCAACACCTAACGTCCTACGTCATCCACTGGATTGCCACTCTCTTGTGAACGCGCGCACGACAGTTAGCGGAAGCTAGAGATTACGGCTTATAAAGTTTTAAATATGGATATTTTTCTTACACAAATGCATCGCTTCACTTCAGAAGGCCTTTATTAACCTCCCAGAGCCATGTGGAGCACTTTTTATGATGAATGAACACTTTTTTGGGCTTCAAAATCTCGACCCCCTTTCACAGCCATTATAAAGCTGGGAAGAGTCAGGTCATTTTTAATATAACTCCGAATATAACCTTAGTGCGTGAGACCCCTGCTGTAATGGTAACTGGTGTGCGTCCAGCATAACTCAGGCATAGATATCAAATGTCCACCAAATGACTCCATATGAATCCCATGCATTGGGTCTTTGTGTAACCATTAGATTGAGAGATGATAAAGTGCCCACATATCTGAAAGACACTGTATTATTCATTAATTCTAAATAGAGTTGAAATAGCGATGCTTGAAAAGTTTTAGTCTTGTTTTCCACAGGAACTGCACAAAAAAAGCCTGTGGTGCTGGAGGCAGGACTCTGGTTCCCATCATGCATTGAAGCATGTCTGAATCATTTTAAGTACAGCTTTACAGCAAAACCCTTACTATTTTAATTTGTGTATGAAAGGATTTTATTTTATTTTACTTATATACTATTATATTTTGTATTACCTTATTATTTTAGTTTTTATTTATATATTATTTTATAATTTTCTTTTTAATTTCAGTTCAAGTCCTAATAAACATTTTTATGTGCTTTTGTCAATTTTTTTATATATATATTTTTTATTTTAGTTTTAGTATTTTAAGTTCTTCAACTTAAATATACTGTATATATTTCAAATGTTTCTAAGTCTTGCTACATTTTTATTCAGCTTTATTTCAGTGAACAGAAATTATTTTTAATAGTGTTTGAACTGTGCCTTTAACTTAATGAGGGAGAGAGAGAAAGAACAAGAGAAAAAAATGAAAAGAATATGAATGTAAGAGAGGCAGTTTCATACTTCCATACTGTATTGACCTCCAGCGTGTCACTTCTTGAGGACTATCTTTAACCTACATCGCATGTCAGCGTTGTTTCTCTAGCTCCCATCAACACTCTCTCACAGCTGTAAAAATAGGCCGGGCGTTTGACCGCTCTCGTTTCGCTTCTGGTTCTCCTTCAGTGTTATTGATCTGCAGGGCCTCACAGAAGCTGTGTGTAAGGAATATTTCTGAAGTTTTTTGATTGTGTGACCTTGGTGTTCAGTGTAAGGTCTCTGTCTTGTGAAACAGGCCCCCATAAGCTGTGATTCAAGTTGTTAAAATATACTAAGATCACCGGCTCGCTGGACGACCGTTGATTTAAAGTGTAAACTATCAGATTTGAATTCAGTTTTAATCAGGTTGACTCCGAATTTTCAGATTCGAGTCCTTTCAAAACCTGAGCTAGAAATAAAATTAATGATTAATTCCCTTATAGAATTAACGACTTAAATTACAGTTAAGTCCCTACATCAGTGGGCACACTAGTGTACTATTTCCAGTCGCCATAATAGTGCTGCTTTCTATTCGAGTGAAGAAAGACACAAATGTCTGAAATTGTTTGTCAGCGTAACACTGTTTCAAAAAAAGAATAATATCTAACAATAAGTTATGGTTCTTTAGCTCAAATCACACACAAAAAAAATGTTTTCAGACCATCCAACTTATGCGCATGCAAGATATTGAGTTCATTTGCATAATATTCTTTTATTTTGTATGCTTTGGGACTATAACAAATTCTTTTCAGACTGCGTATTGGCTGTGGTAATGCCTTTTGTATTGAAAAAAAAAAGGTTTTTGAGGACAAACACAGGCCCTTAATAGCCTTTAACGCTGCTGTCTTGCAATCCCTCTGCCTGTGCTAATATTGTTTCCTGCCATCTGTCCAGCACTGTTGGCAGAATATAGAGAAAAAGGCATAAATCCCCCTCTCTGCTTGACCCTCGAAGACAGCTAGCTAGCTATATCATAGTGTCATGATGGATTTGCCCATATCTGGCGTGGTTAGAGATGTGTGTTTTTCCATGTGCTCATGGGAGTGTCAGAAATTACTGTGGGCCACTTCGGCTCTCACTTCAGCCTTCACGACCCCTGGACCTGACACTGCTGTCACTAAAACATCACACAGTGATGCCGCTATGGACCCAGGCTGTGTACATTATTGCTAGTGCGAAGATAAACAATTAGATTTATTTTACTTGAATTAAATGTGTAAATGTCCTTAGGCTTTTTTGTTTCATGTATGAAACCAGAAAGTTGTAGCATTTATTAAAAGACCAGCTTAGAGTGGTGTGAATAAAAAATAATACTAAAAAAAGTATAAAGTATACAAATAATTATTAATAAATACAATTTATTTAGTTTTTAAAATAAATTTAATTGAGATAAAATACATTCTGAAATAAATGTTTTAATTATCTGTTCATTATAATTTTAAATGCCATTTGAAATCTAAATTGAGTAATATTTGTGTCTCAAACTGATTTATTTAAACAGTTTACTTGCTGTTTTGTGGTAGACGGGTGTTTTGGATACCGTTAGAGCATCTCTCACATCTTTCGTTTGTCTCTGAACTCCACAGGCCGAGCCAGCCTGCATGGCAAGTCATCTCTACGTATTGAGAGGGTTCGCTCGGAAGACCAGGGCTGGTACGAGTGCAAGGTCCTGATGCTGGAACAACAGTACCACACCTTTCACAATGGCAGCTGGGTGCACCTCACAGTCAACGGTGAGTCTCTGACCTAAGATCAGTTTTTCTCTTATTGTTGTCAGTTTATATCCTTACCAGATGTGTTGTGATAAAGAAAGTTGTCCTAACCAGCTGTAAGTCTGTCTTACTTATTTGGCTATTTGGTTTTACTTTCTGTGGCACAGCCCTAATGATGCTTTTTTCAGAAGTAGTTTGGGGTCATTAAGTCTCTTATGCTCACCAAAGTTGCATTTATTTGATCAAAAATACTGGAAAAATGGTAATATTGTGAAATATTATTACAATTTAAGATAACTGATTTATATTTGAATATAATTTAAAATGTCATTTATTTCTGTGACGGCAAAGCTAAATTTTTAACAGTCATTACTCCTGTCTTCAGTGCCACATGATCCATCAGAAATCATTCTAATACACTGATTTGGTGCTCATGAAGCGTTTCTTATTATTATCAATGTTGCAAACAGTTGTGCTGCTTAATATTTTTGTGGAAACATGATAAATTTTTTTAAAGATTATTGGATTAATAAAAGCATTTATTTTATATGGAAATGTAATATTTTAAATGTCTTTACTGTCACTTTTGATCAATTTAAACTAAAAATGAATATTTTTACTACACATTTATTGATAATTATTTTTGAATAAAAGTATAGTAATTACAATTTCTTAAGAAATATTACAATTATTTCTTAAAAAAAAAAAAACGTTTAAATGGTAACGTCCTTAATCTGAGCCATTTTTCAATTACTTTAACTGGTCCGAAGGTCATTTTATCAATAGTTCTTCTTAAATGTCTAATGTTTTGCTTGAAAAGTGTTGGTAATTTGTTGCAAGTGTCCAAATGGGAAAGGTCCAGTATGTGTTTTACATTGTGCAGTGTATTGTAAGTGTGATAGCGATCAAACAGAGAAAACCCGTCCATGCACTGTTCTGATTGACTGTTGTTGCAGCATCATGGCTGGTTACGGCACTGTGTCAGTCTTCCTGTGTAATGCATCATGTCACTCTGCCTTCTAGATTCCGTTGCCTAGGTAGCAGACACCCAAATCCCCAAACCGGGTACAGCACATTAACTCTATCTAGCTCATTGCTGTGTGATATACGCTCAGCCTCTTCTAATAGACAACAGCTGTGAATCAGATCACCCTTCCAAATGCACAGCTCTGCAGTTACACACTGTGTTTTAATTAGTGGTCGACCAATATATCGCCAAGGCCGATATATCGGCCGATATGTGACATTTTTTCTTTTCAATATCGGCATCGGCCGATAAGTTTTCCTGTTTGGCCGATGTGTTCGAGGCGCGACAGACTTTTATTTTGACGGCGCTGAGAACGGCAGCGCCTGGGCACACAGTGCTCACATTCTCCCTCTTGTTCGCTGTTGTCGTTAACAGTTCTGTCTACAAGTCTGTCTAATAATCAGATAGAACGGTTAAACAAAGGAATTAAAATGATAATACGTTCTTGTTTGCCGTCAGCATTCAGCAAATACGCATTTATATCATTTAAACAAATCTTTGAATGTCTAATAAACATCCAATTTCAAAAACCTTGCAAACTTAGTCGGATCCAGTTGTGAGATCTTGTGAAGTGTGTATATGTATCCTGCATGATCGCGTGTTCCCTGCGTGACGGTCGGTCCGTGCAAATTGAATGCTGACAGGAGGAGAGTTCAGCTTCACTGGAGACGCTCGATCGACAAACTTTAAACTAGTGATTTTAAATTATGCTGCGCTTTATGCATTTGCCCACTGTCATATTCATGTCATTTTCACTGTGTGCTATATGTAAAATGAGTGTTACCTTGGATTTATTTGAAAAAATATTTCAAACTTCCCAGAATACTGAGTGCCCTGTTGGTTACAGTGTTTACTTCCTTTTTAATTATATTTTTATTTAACAATAACAATATTTATTGATATGTGAAAATACTTTGTCATCTAAAGTATAAGTATGTTTATTTAACACATTTATTTTTTAATACATTTTCAAATTATTTCAAATTTCTTAAATATTAATTAAAATACATAAAATTATATTGGCTTTATATCGGCCATCGGCCACCCTGCTTTCCAAGATATCGGCATCGGCATTGGCTGTCAAAAAAACAATATCGGTCGACCACTAGTTGTAATTCTGGGAATCTTTTTATTTGACTCAAGGTTTTGGAGGATGAAAGGGCGCTCATCCTCCCTCATGCCCACTGCAACGTCGCTCAGTGACATTGTGTATGTTTGTATCCATTTGTGTTGTTGCTAGTCTTAAATCCAGCAGCTCAGCACGCAAGTTGGTGTCAGTTTTTGGAGGATGAAAGGGCGCCCATCCTCCCTCATGCCCACTGCAGCGTCGCTCAGTGACATTGTAATTTAGGTAAGATGCATTTGTGTGAGCATTTGGGGAAATATTTATGTTTTTACTTGTGTATTTATGAATTGTGTTTTGAATTTACGAATCGGATTTTGTAAATGTAAATTGTGCTGTGCATTTATGAATTTTGTTTTGCAAATGTGTTATTTTTGAGGCTGATCTGTCTCCATAGAAACAGGTCAGTTTATCAGCCGCGTGTGGCTCTGTGTGACTAACACACTAATATCAGCAGTGTTTCTTTTATGAGACCACAACCAATCTGTCTAGCGCTGGGAAAAGCAGCACGTGATTCAGAGCACACAATAAGAGCTCCGCCAATCTCTTTTACACAGTTTAATCAGAGACTAAACTGTACTTTAGGGTGTACTGTAATATGTTTGCTTCTCATCTGTGTGACGGGCAGGTCTTCACCCCTCATTAGTGATTCCCGCTCTCTCTGAGGTGTTTCTGCAGGCTTTTGTGCAAAAAAAATAAAAAACCCTCACAAGCATAAAGCTTTTGCATATCTCTATGAATATATGCATGGGGCCGGCTGATGAAGTGCTTTCTGAAGGTTATTGTGTGGAGTGCTGGTGTGTTTGGGGCCGTTTAAGGGGCGGTTAGCACGGTGAGTAAGTGGCTGTCAGGAAAGAAATTAGCTCCATGTTAGCTGCTTTCACTCCATTCCTCAGAGCTGATGTTTTACGGTTCTTGTGATATTTTCGCACACACAAATTTGCACTTGTGTCGTTTGAGGTGTGAGGCACATGTCAAAAGTGCTAAGCAGGGGAGAGGAAGTGATGTAATGGTTCATCAATGCAGCAAGGTTGAGCGCTCATATGGTTGATTATTGAAGAGAGACATTGGTGTGCACATCTTTGATCTGTGTGTTTAAAGCAGCAAGTCAACCAAAAATAAAAATGCATGTACTCGCCCCCATGTTGTTCCAAACCTGTATCACTTCATCATCTTTCTGCTGTGAAACACAACAGGAGAAAGACATATGTGGCACTATATTTCAAGCCTTCAGAAGCAACACTATTAAAAAAAAAAAAAACTTTCTTTCTTTCTGTTAAACAGGTGTTTTAACTGTATTTTTAATTTTGCACTGTATTATGTTGTGTTTTAGAGTTAACGGAAATGTTTGTAAAATGAATGGATAATGTCCTGGCAGATAATTACAGTATATTTTCTTTATTTTTTTTTAAATACAGTATTATTATTATTATTATTATTATTATTATTAGATGTTCAAAATTTGTTTAAAAAAATTTACTTAATTTTTTCTACCAATCATTATCTTTATTTATTTATTGTAAAATTTACTATTACATTTGAAACCTTTTTAAATTATTTATAAATAAATATTTATACTACAATAATTATAAAATATATGTAATATTTTATTGTCAATGATGATAATAATAATAATAATAATAATAGTAATAATAATATTTATGTTAAGTTGTTTGTGATGTTAATGGTTACATTAATTTAAATCATTGTTTTGGGCTGTGTTTTCTCAGTTAAGCGTTGATGTTGGCTCTTATTCGTATACCCATTCTTCCTTTCTTTCTTGAATTAATTAATTTATTTATACATATTTATTTAAATGAACAAACAAATTAATTAATAAATAAATTGTTTCTGCTTATTGGTAATTGGATATGGATAGATTTGTCATGGCATGAGGGAATTCTGACAATGTTTTTTTATGGTAAATTATTTCTTTAAATATATCTTTTGGTATTGTTAACATCTCTATTGCTGCACTATTTACAGTAACTAAGATCTCTAATAGGTGGTCTGACTCCTTAAATAACTTCATTTCCTCTGCAGTGCTGAATGTGTGTGGAGAGAATAAACTCCAGCATAGAGCAGCACTAGAGATCCTCTGCTTTCTCTGTGATCTTACAGCAGGTTTACACTCCACTGCTGGTTAACACTAATCCTTTGGATTTCAGATTAAATTTCTTGCAAAATTGGAGAGGGGAAGCACAAAACTCTCATTGAAATCCAAACAGAAAAGCCCAAACCCTAAATGTTCACTTTCACTATTTCCCTTTTTGGAAGTTATTTATAGTCCGAATTAGTCTTTGATTTCTAATGTTAGCTAGTGTCATAATCAAAAGCCTAATCATTGTGAGGCTAAAAATAAATTTTACATTTTCTGAGGTAATGTGAATGGTTCTTCTCCATCCAAAACAATGCTTGTAAGTGGTTGCTAAGGCATTCTCAGGGTTTCTAGGGTGTTAATTTTTACATTTTTCAAGTAGACTTATATGGCTCTTTTATGAAGCCTATTCTGTGATCAGTGGCTGTTTGTCACCCCTGATCTGACACCACTCACGTGCTCTTATGCTCAATACAAGCCCTTCCCCTTTCAGTTTGAAAGACAGCTGCTGTTCAACCTGTTTTCTGGGGTGTGATGTATACAGGAAGGACACACCGTTTATCTGCTTATTTTTAATTAATCACCTTGTGGTGACTTAATGAAGTTAACTTGACTCTAAGAAGCTAGGAGGTCATGTCCTGGCCACAAGGTGAGAGGCTGAGTTGTTGTAGCATCTCGTCTTTTTAATACTCAGATCCCTATGGCAGGGTCAGAGAGGAGAGCAGAGCAGTTAAATCTATTCCAAACTGACTGTGAGCTAACGCTAATCCCAT